ATCATCAGCTTTCGCATGCGCAGTCTCTCTGCATGCCTTTCAACCAAAGCAGGTGAAGCTTTTGTCAGTATACAGGAAAAAAAAAAAAAATCCTATAACAAGGTTTTGCTTTTACATAATTAATTACAGAGTGAACAAAAACGCACTGTTTCTCTCCTAGAATTACCTCGTGTATGTAAGGACAACTAAAAGGGGCAGACAGGGGGTGGAGGGAGAGGGTTCGTGAACAACGCTATTGATTTCCACCCCCCACCTCCCCCAGCCTGGTTTTCTTTGAAGGAGGACCTAACCTCTAGTAGCTTTTAAGATGTGCATGTGAACTTGCAAAATGCATTTGACAAAGTCTAGCAAGCGATCCTCCAAATTCTGGCAGATGCAAACTATATCACATATGGGCTTTACCCTTTCCACTATACAATACTCACGATTAGCGTGAACGCTAAGATGAGACTATAATGTGTATCAGTAACTAGATCACACATTTGTTCCCACAACATATTCATTTTATTGTATCTGTTGACCTATATTGGTGAAATGATGCAAGGATTAAGGCTTTAAACATCTTCAGTGGAAAGTGGTATTTTAACATCTGACACATTTTGGCAGTTTCAAGTGCAGTAAAGTCAAGTTCCTCCAACCTCCAACCCTAACATGGAGTTTGACTGCCTCTCTTTCTACCCTGGGTGGTTTTTGTCCATATAAATACTATTAAAACCACATGGAAAACCATACCTTTAAATTTCATACATATAAAAACCTGAACTACACAAAACTCCTCTTCATGTACCTGTTTGCATAGCTGTATTTGAAAGAAGTTTTGTATTCTTTTGTGTTCTTTAATCTATTGTTTAGTGGTGTTTGACTGCCTCTCTTTCTACCCTGGGTGGTTTTTGTCCATATAAATACTATTAAAACCACATGGAAAACCATACCTTTAAATTTCATACATATAAAAACCTGAACTACACAAAACTCCTCTTCATGTACCTGTTTGCATAGCTGTATTTGAAAGAAGTTTTGTATTCTTTTGTGTTCTTTAATCTATTGTTTAGAGAAACTGGTGTTTCATTTCACAGCTAAAAGAACTTAATTACTTGAATCGTGGAGACATGAAAGGCAAGGGAAGGAAAGAAAACATCTCTCTCATTTTAAACTCTTCTTCCACAAGCTAATTTGATAGTATAACTTGAAAGTACAGAAATCTGAAATCTACTTCTGAGCATTTGAAACTTCACATCTTTTTACCTCTCTCTCAAGAGATATTACTCAGGTTTAGTGTGACATTTTGAAATGTCACCATCCCTGTCTCAAAACCAGAAGTTTTAATGCAGAATAGACACCTACCTGCTTTAATAAAGAAATCCATTCTATATGCGATGTGATATTCTAAGAACCTCTGTGCATACCCTTTCTCATCCTAAGGAAAGAAAAAAAAATCACTTCAGGAATCTCTTTCCTGTCCAAATAAACAGGGACTGCTAAAATCAATGGCTAAGGTCACTTTCCAAAAGCCTTATTATTCTGATACAGCCACACATTTTGAATCAGAAATATTTTTTTGGAGGAAATATTTTCCCCTGAAATACACTTTTGCCACGTCAAGAAAATAACATTATTTTCTCAGGAAAGCCAGAGTAATTTTGTTTTTGCTGTAAGGCTGAAGTTGGAAGAAGTGGTAGTACTTGCCAGAGATCCATCCACTCAAACTTCACATTTCATCCCTTTGCAGCACCAGAACAACAGCACTCACAGGAGACCTCACGATCACTAACGCGGTTCTCTTTCTGGCATAATCTGATAATCATCAATATTAACATTAGACTTATGCAAGTACGTAATCAGTTTTAACATCTACATACAGTAGCATATGAATAAATACATTCTGTAAGCTACTGCTAAATTTGCAAGCAAACATCTAGGTTCTTTGGAGAGTTTAAAATCATTACATGTAAAAATGTTCAGTTTGGAAAGTATCTATGAAAGATTAATCTATCCTTTTCTTGTCCAGCCCCTTGATTTGGTAGATTATCACTGGCAAGCTGTGACATTTGCTTAAAACATTCTCTAAAGTGAAGAGCCATGTTTTAGCCCTAGAATTCTTCTAAGAGCGTGCTAAAACACTTGTACAGCCAAGATGCAGGTTTTCCTAAATATCGAAACTGAAAAAACACCAGCTACCGTCAGTGCCATAAACACAGAGTTGTCACTCAGACATCATTCACCAATAAGGAAATAAAAAAAAAAGGCCATAATTATTACGCAGGATATAAATAATACTGGAAGTGATGATCAAGAGTCTTCATCAGCTGATAGGTATCTGGCTGTCACAGCAAAACATGCAGGAACACAGAACCGAAAGGACTTTCCCAGTCACTGAGTCCAATGACTGCTATCACAGGCAACCAGCTCCCATCCTTTTCGTAACTTAACCTTCACATCGGCTTGCTCCACAGCTCCCAAAACTCTTAGTGGAGGAGTAACTTGGTTTGAAGTAGCTCAATAGTTTTCCTTTCCATACATTTATTAATGGCTAGTTTATACTGCACGTTCCTGTGCCTGATCCGTCCTTAAGATTTACTATTTATTCGCATTGCTGCAAGATTTCCCAATCACACCGATACATATTCCCAGCAGTATTTGCATTTCTGCCACTAAGGCAGCACAGTCCCTATACCAGCCTGAATCTCTCCTTTCGCACAAGGGCAGTCAGAACCGCCCCCCAACATTCCATGTGAGAACCGCTGCCCCTGCAGGCAAACAGTTCCCCCCCATTTTCTGTACCTAATGGGAACTGAGGATAACACGTGCTTTAGCAGCATAACACACCATTGCACAAGCTCTACTCATTTCCCAGTAGAAATCCTTCTCCTTAGTCCCTATGCCCACTCTGTATATTCAGTTCAACACCGTTTCCCATTCTCCATTTTTCAGGGTTACCAGGCCTTCAGCTGTCAAGTTCACATTCTTCCCAGTAGTGGCAATGTCATCCGACTTTTTACCAGTACAAATTTATTTTCTTTAGTATGCTCCTATGTTTTGTTTGTTTGGGGTTTTTTTTCCTCCAAAAGAATTCATGGAGATTAATTTAAAGCTATAATAACCAATTTCTAGCTCTTAATGAAAAGGCATCGCCTTGTGTGGCGACTGACAGTGGGCTGAGTGACCGCCAGTGGTATCAAAGAAATCACTGGAAAATTCACTCTTTCTTCACTGACCACTCAAAAATGGAGGTAGCTATTGCCAAACAACATGAAATACAGTGAAGACAGCAACAAGCTCTGTGTTTTGCTCTTTTTTTAAACTATAAACTTAACTTGCTCGCTAGATACACTTAAATTCTAAATGCAGAGGAGTGTGTGTGCGTGTATTTGGCACCTTTCCTTAGCATTGAAATTAATTTAGTGAGCACTGTTAGATTCTAACCAATTTAGACCAAATCTGTTTTTTCCAGAAGTTACAGCATTTCAAAGTGAAGAAAAGTATTTAATTAAGCCACAATGCACCTTCTGTTGTTATTCACACACTAAGTAAAAGAAACTACAAAAATGTGATTTAAATCAGGTAAAGCAAAGACGCCACTTCATTTTTGTGATGATGTGCTTTTGTTTAGATACATCACCCAACCAGCTCTTTAAGAAGCTCCTACTTATTAAGTATTAATTAAATGTTTTTGTCACTCCATGACAAAGATCCTTATTTAGCTGGAAATAAAGACAGACTCAAACTTTGTTTTATCTTTTAATAAAGTTTAAATAGTTAAAATAAGAGGAAAGAGTATGTTTTAAAGCCAAGCTATTTCTTTGTTGATGCTAGGCTTTAAAAGTTGGATTTACTAGCAAATATGGGCCATGAGAAAAGAGCTGTATACTTAAAATGCTGGTGTAGAATATATTAAAATAGCCAGCTTACCTTAAATCAAAGGAAACACAATCTTTACACTTTTTCAAGTGTACCGCCTATAAAAAAAACAAAATATTTGCTTTATCCATTGGCAGGATGTTGAAATTCTCCAGAATATTTAGATGTCTGCCTAAGAAAGTTTATAAGTGCCAATCCAACACTGTAACAAAAATTCCAAACAGAACTGGAAATTAGAACAACTCAACCAAATCATCCCACTATAAGAATATTATATTTCAATTCTGCATAAACACAGATCAGCATGGTTTGTTTTGTTTTGAAAATTCTTCATGACCCGCAGAATACAGCATAGGTTTATTTCACTATTACCTTTTTCCTTCCGTTTCCTTAATGCTATTTCCTCATTTACATTTAAAACCCTACCTAATTTGTCTACTGACTTTTTCTGCCCTTAGGGCTTTTTTTAGCCTCAATTCTATCCTCACCCAAGGAGATCCTTCCCCTCTTACTTCTTAAAGAGGTTTTTGTTTGTTTGATTGATTTTCATTTTCTTCTTTTTCAGATACAGGTAAGTATCCTACCATAAAGGGAGCACGGAAACAAAGCAGAATGGGAACAGCACTCAGAGTTACTGGGACATCTGCAAGCCAAGACTTCGAGTAGGAACTTCAACAGCTACTATTTTTGAAAGAACAATGTCATGCTTTCTTTATATTTGATAATATTTGACATATTTGATAATATGTCTCCTATAAACATAGTCTTTGCCACAAACAGCCACAAACTGCAGACAAAGCAAAATAGCACACAGTTTGATGAATTCAGCGTAACACACAAAAAAAATGGTAGAGTCCTAGTAGCAGCTGCAAGGGTAACAAACATTTAGAAACCAAAGTGATCCAATAACCTGAAAATACATCTGCTAAACTAAGGAAAAATCTGTGCAATGAGATTAGAAGCTTCCAAATTTCAGACTGATTGCTCAGGGACCACAGTAGAAAACTAAACTCAGATGTAAGGAAGTATTAGCTTGGAAAAGCCTCAGCTTTCCAAAATTCAAAATTGTTAAAAAGCAATACATCTGTTCATCATTCTATGATGTTTTCTAGTCTATGGGAATAAACAGCAGGATACAATCGTTTGCAACATCCGTTTACTTTTTTTTTTTTTTTAAACTTTTTAAACTACATTAAGAAAATATTCTTACAGAAAAAAAGTTAGATGAGCACAAAGAAATGCCATGACAAATCCTGAGACAAGTTATCCTACATCATTGCTAGTCTATGAAAACTGGTTTGAATAATAAACATACTGGAGTATTCAGTAACGGCATACAAATCAAAAGTATTTGTAAATTATTAAGTTGTGCATGTTTTTAAATGACAAAACATGCTCACGGGTTTACTTTAAAATCTCTCACTGCTTGTTATCAAAGTTAAAAGATCATTTGCATACCAATACACATACTGTAAACATGAACTTCTCATTAAGGAAAGATGGGTTTACAGTAATTTGATCTTTTACAAAAAGCTATTGGTAACTGAATCTCTCAGTGTCTAACTTTCTAGAAAATTAAACCAATGTTTCCACTCTCGAAGTTGAAACACTACCGCTTTAGGAAACAGCCCTGTTTATTTGTTAATCAGAAATACAATCAAGTGGCATATTTCCATTTGCTCTCCGGCTGACAGTTTCAGCTTCATTGTATTTTACAAGAAAACAGCAGACTTGCAGAGCTCCTGTAAATTCTTTCATATCGCAACTGATTTAATTACAGTGGTGAAGAAAAGCAGCGGTGATGCAAAATAAGACCAGCCCAATTGCCCTTATCTGATGATAGGATCTCTCTTCCTGTTTGGCTTGCAGCAGTGAGGACTTCTTGTTTTGTTTCGGTTTTTCGTTGGTTTTTTTTTCTGGTCAGGCTGCCTCTGTCAGGACTGACAGAAGCAAGAAGTTGACATGCCCTTATAATTCCAGCTTGAGAATGATCCTCATACCAGTATAGCTGAGTTTCAATCAGTAGGTCGGGGAATGATACTAATGTGGAGAAAATTATCTGGATAGCTCATATGTTCGCTTAGCCACTGTATGGGTGTTTCCAGCATTGGCTCAATTCCATGAATCATCACTTGAGTCTTCTGCTCTCCATCTAATTCAAAGAAAAAGAGAAACCACTAGTATACCATTTAAAGTTCACAGAAAGATTAAACATTTACTTATACTTAATTTACGGTAGATTTAATTGGTGTTACAGAGTTTAACATTTAACAGAATGAAAAGCAGGAAATATTGGTATGGAGAAAGCTGAGATTTCTATCATCTAAAACAGAAACTTTGAGTTAAAATTAATTCCAAGAAAAGACTGGGTTAAAATGAAACTTAATGAAAGTGCCACTCTTCTTTATTAGTTGCAAGTTTTTTTTCCTACAGTGATCACAGCTTGGTGTCAACACAGTTAAGGCATATCCATCTCGCCCCGCTATAAGCCATGTGAATTTTATACAGATCATGCTTAAGATGTTGAGCTTCCTAAGAATACAACTTTATTAGTACGTTTTAATAGTGTGATGTCCTGGAAGAGCTGGACTACATGTAATATGTCACACATAGAATACAATTAATATTCCTGAAGTAATTTTGTTTTGTTAAGAATAATTTACTTAAGTCTCTAGCAGTATTTCAGAATTACTCAGAAGGCTGAGCTGGCATCAGCTTTTTCTCACTTAGTTTCATCTCTTGGAAAAGCTAAGTTAGCAAATGATTCCCAGTATGACAAGAATATTTTCTAAGAATATTTCAATTCCTTTTATTTATATTTGTCCCGGAGGATGCAAGTGCTTTGATCCTTTGATTCAAATGATGGGAACCAGCTAAAGCAACTGACATAACTGTCATGAAATGAACTAAAAAAAATAAAAAAAGAAAATTTATTTCGGAGCCTTGAGATGAGAAGAGCATCTGAAATACGCTCCAAATAATGATGGGGGGGGGGGGGGGGGGGGGGGGTGACCTTCTACTGTTTTTGTACCATACTCTGGCATTCTTACATGGACCTACCACAGTGAAATCCACATTCAGTGCTCAAAAATATCACTGCCTTCTCTAAATGGATTTTATCCTCCCCCAACTGTCTATACTACAGAACAAACCACCGTGCTGCCCAAGAGTTGCATGGAAGAGAGCAGAATCTAGAAGTGAAGGTACCATTACTGGCTTTCATTCAGCTCCCCCCGCTGTAGCATAATTCCTATTTTGTAACATAGATAAGATCTTACTTGTTTGATAACCAAAATGATTTGACAGCTGCCTGAATTAGTTTGTATTATAACTGGGTATCTATGCCAGCACAGGCAAATTAGACTAGGAAGAATCATCCTTGAATATGCTGTTGACTTTATGCTAGTAATAATTCTTCCTGCAGAAGCAGTTAGTTGTGTTTGCCTAAAATAAAGCATTACACATTAGTTACATTACCTACATACGGTATCATATTCTGTATGAATTCTTGATTAAACATATAAAGCTTGATCCTCTAAATGGCATAGTATACACACTATCACACTAAATTAAGCATAAACAATTGCTGGTTTCTGGTTTTACTGCAGACAGGTCAGAAGAATGCAGCACATCATTTAAAAACAAACTTCTGATATTTCCAGTCAAAGCAGGTATTTATTGGGCTGAAACATTACCAGTCAGATTGTCAAGAGTATAAACTGCAAAAGAAAAGATCTCAGAAACCCAGTTTTTACACTGAGGAATTAGGGATCATCTAAATATTTTTAATATTAAAGTAACTCCCAATTATATGTATTTAACACTTTCCAATGAAAATCTATCTATCTATGGTATTCCATAAATTGCCACAGAGCTGGTGACATCTATTTACATTTCATAATATTATTTAATTTTCAGGAACAACTAATTTGCATACACAGACAGACGGCAGAATGCTGTTTAGGCATTAGTACTGTGCTAGCCACCTATACGCAGCTGACTCTTCTTAGCAAAAACTTGCACAAAAAAATAGATTAAAAGCTTTAGAACCTCAGTATCATTTTCTTGTCATTGGAGGAAAGGCTTATAAATGACAAACACTTTCTTTGGCTCTTCTTTTACTGTGTGATGGAACATTTTTGGATGTGTGTGCATGTGTGTACTAACTTGATGCCTCTTGCTTAAGAATGAAATGCAGTTAATCTGGGTGTCCCCATTCCCTGCTCCGACCCAACTTTGTCCCTTTCTCATACAAATCTTTCATTCTGTTCCTCACCAAACTGAGAAACTCTCAGAGGTCAATGAAGAATTTACAGTTTAATTGAAGTCTAAATCTCTGCATTAGCATTGTCTGTACTTTAGTATTATCTCTGACAAAGCATCACGTATCCTTAATTCCTTTCCCCCTTGAGGCTTGACTAAAGAGATCTTATCTACCAATTCTGTATTTACTGTAGCCTTCTTTCACAAAATCCATTGGTTTTACTTTAGCATTCTTCCCTCCTTTTGTTACTAGGGACCATAAACTCTCACTTATGTCACATTTATCCCAACTTTCCTCAACTTTCATATTTTCAGTAACTTCCCCATTTTGAATCACATACAGTCTCTCTCTCCTATAGATGGCTCCTCTGCTTTATGTAGCAAAAACTTGTCAACAGCAAATAACACTAAAAAAATTACTGGAAAATATTCTTGTTTTCTCAACAGCTGTCTAATTCGTATCCACCATTACAACTGTGATCTGGGGTCTGGATGATTTGCTCGCTATCATGAAAGCTTCATCCATCTGGTTTATAGATATAATAGATTTACATAATATTTTTCCTTCCATTACTGTTCATAGTCTTAAGAGTTCTAGCTTATTTTTTATGCATCTTGACACAGCAAGTGTTGCCCTCTTCTTCCCCACCCCATATTCTATGACAACACAAAGTCTTTTTAGACTGACAAAATGCCTCTACAGAAGTGTAGAAGTTGCTAAACACAACTTATATTTAAGTGTGTGGTGTAAGATTTAAATGACTTAATTACAAGGAAGATTAATGCCATGTCACTGGACCAGGCCTATAAAAATTAGGGCAAATAATTCTGCTCATCTGTATTGCACAGGGTCCAGACCTGATAATTTAATTACTGTCAATACCCATTTTACAATATTCAGTAATGTAATTAAAAAAAAAACCCAAACACCAAAACACCAGGATTTCCTCAAAACCAAGACGTTCAAATTATCCAGTCACCTCACTGACTTTTTTTTTCCTTTTAAAATCATGACAGAACTGAGTTGCACGTTAGCTATCATGACCTAAAGATGGTTTCTTTTACTTTGTTGCAAATTAATCTCAGGAAGAAGGTAAAGTGGAAATATCAGAAAAATAAAAGCATAGCAATACATGTTTCGTAGGAAGTTTTTATAATGTGTGTACATAGTAACTGTTTACTTAAAATCAGAGTATTTTTATATTACTGAAGTGATGCACAAATAGTAAATACTGTTTTGGCATTTACAAAAAAGCAAGCCTCAAAACCAATTAAGTCATCTCCTATCAGAGTGGCTGGGGGGGGGGGAAGGTTTTTTTTTTTTTTTCTTTTTTTGTATTACTGTTTACTTAAAATCAGAGTATTTTTATATTACTGAAGTGATGCACAAATAGTAAATACTGTTTTGGCATTTACAAAAAAGCAAGCCTCAAAACCAATTAAGTCATCTCCTATCAGAGTGGCTGTCCAGGATTAAATGATTTTTCTTTGCTTTCCTTGTGGAAATCCATGAATACAGAAGGCACTATAGCCCCCAAAAGTCACTAGTGGCAAGTGATAAGCACAGATTATAAAGCTTTTTGGTAAAATTTAATAACATTCCGTCTCCAGAAGGCAGATAACTATGCTTACATGTTGTGTACTAAGACATTTTTGAGACATTTCAGATCACTTAATTTAGACACTAACTCAAAGGCTGCAACACTTAAAGTAGGTACCTGACCCAGGCTAATAAATCATACCATGTAAAGTCAGAAGAGTTTTCCAACTCTGTACAGAAAATGGAGAGAAACAGGCAGCTCTGAAGTGAAGGGTTTAAGAAGAGGTCTCCTTCTCTATCATCTATAAGGTGCTTCAGTGCTCCTGATCAGGAAACCACCTTGATCCAGCCAAAGAAATTATTGGCAAAGGACTCTTTTTGCAGATAGGCACATGCTGGAAGGAAGCAAGAGGTAGTGGCTGTTGCATCTCAACAGAGTCCTTGAGGCAGTGGCTCAAATCCCTCCTCAACCTGAGGCAGCTTGAGTCCACTCTCCCTTCTTTAAGGAGAATGCCCTAACTACTACAATATTTTCTGTTGCTAATCCCAAGCTTCCTCTAAAACCCCTCAGTTTTAGAGGGTTTTTAGAGAAAGAATCAGCGAGACACAGAGAACGAACAAAGAAGAGAAAATCTGTAGTCTTCAGAGAAGGTCCTAGATGTGCAGTCTCATGGTATCACATGGTAAGTTTTCCCTGTTTCCTTTAGCTATAAAAGTTACTGCTTGCAAAGTAAACCACTCAATATTAGGAAACCAAAGAATTTAATTAGCTTATTCAGCATCAATTCAGATTGTTACACATACCCCTAATGCAATCTAAATACATTTTTCTACTGAATTATCTTTTTATTTAGAAAGGAAGAATTAAAGATGGAGGGAAAAGAAAAGAGACAGATTCAAGTGCCTAAGAGCAGAATAGTGAGAAGGCACTACTTCTGGCAAAGGTACATATTTCAGCCATTTTTCACTCAGATTAGCACCACAATGCTCACCAACGCTGCAGCTACATACTCCCTTTCACCTACACAAGATCAGCTTCTCTAGCCAGACTACATCTGTGATGCACCACTTAAAATTCTTTAGTGGGATGACATACCTCCCTTCCGATTTGTAGCCCCTAGCACTCACCTGTGAGGGCAATTTAGTTGGCTTAAATTCTTTCACTGATAGACAATACAAGATATTCAGGATTTAGCAAAAACATCCCTGGAGTACTTCAGTTAGAATCCTCCGTATGCACGTCCTCTGCATAACAAGTCCCAAAACCTGCCTGTAGTCATCAAAATGGACAATGCAGAAACCACAGCTTCTTACTCAGGGCAGCACCACTTCCAAAATTGGCTTTAAAA